CACACACACACACACACACACACACACACACACACACACACACACACACGGTGTGCCGAGTGTGTTGCTCAGAATGCAACAGTGGGTTCATTTCTTATAGTGAAGTATTTCTGGGTTGACACTTTGAAAAATTGCTTCTATTTCTTTTCTAATACTGAGTTCATATAGCTTGGAAAAATGGAACCCTCACAGATAAGGCCTATTAATAATAAAGCGTGCACAGACGTGAGCAGCAAGCCCTGCTGTCTTAGGGCGGAACAATCTTTTAGGGTTGTTGTCAGAATGGCTCTATATGGAGTGGGAAGAAGCTGGAAACTTACCATGAGCAGGCTCTGTTTTCTTTACCACCCAGGACTCTCCCTGGCGGAAGTGTTATCTGTGAGGAACCGTGAGGACACCACCTTGGGTGTGCAAAGCCAATGTGAATCTCTGCGTTCTGTTCCCTGGTTGATCTGACTCTAGCAGGCTCTGGTTTAGCCTGGGCACTCGCAGATTAAAAAACAAGCAGCAAACCTCTCCCTGCATAAGTCCAATAAGAACACCGTTTGGAATGCTGATTCAGTCAGAGCTCTGAGTTGCTGGATGCTCCCAGTACTAGACATCTCCAACTGTAAAATGCTATACTAATTTAAGAACGGCCATTGTGGGGACAAAACAGAGAAATTCTGTAATAATTGTCCTGAAACTCTTTTTTTGCTCAGTGAAGACAGTCTTCATATATCCCCTACAATTCCACTATTCTTTGTTGTCAGGGCCACATTCAGAGTTTCGGCCTGAGCTTTCTTGGTTTCCTGTCTAAAGACTTCCCCGATTCTCTGGCAATAGCACAGAATGTCTTGGAAACAACTGCCATTAGTAACCTGGTGCTGGTTCCTGTCTGCTTGAGTGCTCTTAGGGGGAGAGACTCTGAAACACACACAGGAATGCTGACATTTCATCTGTGTTTTCTATGGAAACATTTTATTTCCCCAAGCTACCTCTTCATTGGATCACATTACTGGATGCCCAAAATGCTTTTCAAAGTCGGCTAGAGGATTTGGATGGCGTAGCCCAATTTATTGGAACAGCAATTTAAAATTATACACTGATTGTAATAACCTGCCCTCGTTTTGGAAATCCTGTGGTTGATGAAGTTTGCTGGTCACTCCTGCACTTAAACTGCTTTGATTGACATGCCCGAAGACACCATTTCCCGTGCTGCATTGTGTCTATAAGCCTTTGGTAATGAAAAGCAGGATTCAAATTCAAGGTAAAATCCAGCCACCAATAGGCCACCCAGGTAATTCCCTTGACAAAGGGACAGTGGAATGAGAGGCGCCTTGCATGCATGAGCGAGCGGGCATATGTGCAGGCAATGGTAATTACACCCTGGCTTCTCTTCCTGCTGGTGGCTGACAGATTTATTTTACTATTAATTTTAAGAAGCAAAGATGGGTCTAGGTGATACCCTCATTCATTATGAATCAAGGAGAAGAATGCCCTTCAAGTGCACACTACGCTGAAACCTCCATTGAAAGCACTCAGCTGAAGGCATTGATCATCAAATAGCTTCATTCACAGAAGGTTATCAGATGCCACATGTCAGGCATTGTTCGAGGTGCCGGCGATCACAGGTTAATAATAGTAACAGCAACAATAACAGCATGTGTCTATCTAGTGCATATGATATGCAAGCTGTGTCTTTTCAAGCCACGCATGACATTGGTTGAAGAATTGAATTTAATGCTTCGCTGACATCATTTAAAATAATAGAAGGGCACTGGCTAGGAAATAGTGCCTCTTTTCTATTAAAGGCAGCAACCCTTTCATAAACTATTACTGTGCGCACACACAGACCCATGCATCCATGCACACTGGGTCACAGTATAATATGCATTTCCTATGGCGTGTATCTAAACATCTTTCAAACCAATGGTGTGGATCCTTATTACGGGGAACAATAGATGCATCCTTGAGAACATTTCTAACTGTTCTCAAACCAGTGCCATTAGGTTGCAGGTCCTCTCGCTCGCAGCGATCAGGCCACGCCCACTGCCGCCATTTCCTGGATAGAGTTGATGAATGAAGTGTGCTGTTCCCTTGCAGACTTCCTTCCCTTACAGCTGTAAGCCTAGCTATTCCCCACACCTGGACCCAAGACGGCTGTTATGACTTTATGTTTATCAGCGACTTCCTACCTTGTGACTCCTGGTATGTAGGCAAGGTCACATGATCTGACCCTCCAACCCCTCTCCGGTCCAGAAAACTACAAGAAAAAGAAACCCTCTTTACTCTCTAGAATTGAAGGGCATCTCCTTTTAGTACCTGGTCATGTGCTCCCTGATTGCTGTCTCTCCTAATAAAGCTCCTATTTGGAATAAAAGGCTCTATCTCCCTCTTCAGGGCCCCATCATGGGTGTCATGAATATGATGCTATAGTCTCCCTCCAATAAAGCTCATCTGATGATAATTAATACTATTCACCAAACTTTTCTAACAAATCATTAAAATGTATTATATTTATAGCAACTGTGAACCTCACATTACAAAAGATAAAATTATAGGTCAATATTTCTCAAAAACACCAGAAAATATTAACAAATTAATAACAAGCTAAATCCTGTAGTACATAAAAATGATAATGCAACAAGAACAAATGGACATTGCATTGGAGGAATACAGCACAGAATTAATATATTAATTATACACATTACATATATATGTTTTTTTTAAAGATTTATTTATTTATTTAGTATACAGGGCTGTGTCTGCATGTATGCCTGCAGGCCAGAAGAGGGCACCAGATCTCATTACAGATGGTTGTAAACCACCATGTGTTTATTGAGAATTGAACTCAGAACCTCTGAAAGAATAGCTAGTGCTCTTAACCTCTGAGCCATCTCTCCAGCCCTATATATGTTTTTTTGAGACAGTGTTTCTCTGTGTAACAGAGCCCTGGCTGTCCTGGAACTCACTTTGTAGACTGGGCTGGCCTCAGACACAGAGAGCCGTCTGCCTCTGCCTCCCAAGTGATGGGATTAAAGGTGTGTGTCACCATGTCCAGCCAAAATTAATATTTTTAATACTTGAAAAAACAACCTAATTCACATAGAAAGAATAAAAGGCAGAATAGCATGATCACCTCAGTAAATAAAGAAAAGACATTTCCTAGAATTTGCTAGAATTCATTGTTCACTTGGACAGCAGCTATGTATTGTGCTCCAACATCAATGTTAATACTCACTCCTGGTAAAAATTCTAGGCAAACATGACAGAAAAGAGAATTTCAATAATCTAATCAAGATCATCACCAAAAATCTCCCCAATCCCAAAGACAATACACAAAAGTTTTATAGCAAACAGCAGCATTGCTGAATGAATTGGCGAAGATTTATACATTATCATGTGTCTGTGGCAAAGAAGTTAAATTGTCTTTACTCATGAATGGAATGGGTATAGAGAAAAATCCGAAAGATTGTATATACTGCACTGTAATCCTCACAACACCCCTGCAAGGTAGGTGGAGATTTTATAATATTAATACCATCTCTTCTGTATATGGTTAAACAGAGAACTGTACATTAGTTTATTTTTTCTTATTGCTGTGACCAAATACCTGATGAGAAGCAACTTAAAACTGTGATTTATTCTGGCTTAAAGTGCAGGGGCTGCTGCCCATCATGGCACTGACAGCATCGTGTCAGGAATGACTCCCAGCTGTGGCCATTGTAACAGAGGCTACTTGCTCACATCTAGTGGGATGGGAAGCAGAGAGAGACGGATCCTAGCTCATCAGGCTTTCTCCTGTTGTTTCATCTGGGTCCCCAGCCCATTGGATGTTGCCATTCTATCAAGGGTGTGTTTTCCATCCTCCGTTAAGTCTCTCTGGAAATGCCTTTCAAAGACATGCTCAGAGGTGTGTCTCTGAGGGCATTCTAAATCCAGTCAAGTTGAGAATGAAGATTAACCATACAATCTTACCCTTTGTCAACTTGACACTGAAACACATCACTTTTAACCCATAACGTTTCTCCCTTGGTCCTCAAAGCTCATGGCCATCTTCTCGTGATGCAAAAGGCATTTAGAATCTCCTAAGACTTAACTGTTGTTGTTTTTTTCTCTTTAGGTGGGGCTTGCCACCCAGCTCCCAAATAAATCACACGTAGAGGCTTATTCTTTTTTCTTTTTTCTTTCTTTTTTTTTTTTTTTTTTTTTTGGCTTTTCGAGACAGGGTTTCTCTGTGTAGCTCTGCGCCTTTCCTGGAACTCACTTAACTCACTTGGTAGCCCAGGCTGGCCTTGAATTCACAGAGATCTGCCTGCCTCTGCCTCCCGAGTGCTGGGATTAAAGGTGTGCGCCACCACCACCCGGTGAGGCTTATTCTTAATTATAAATGTCCGTCCTTAGCTTGGCTTGTTGCTAGCCAGCTTTACTTAAATTATCCCACCTAGCTTTTACCTTTGGGCTTTTAACTTTCTCTATTTCTGTATAATGTTCATTATTTCTTACTCCGTGGCTTGCTGTGTAGCTGAGTGATTGGCCCCTAATGTCCTCCTTCTCCTCTCTTGCACCTTTCTTTTCCCCCAGATTTGTCCTATCTATTCTCCCTCCTTGCCAGCCCTGCCTATCCTTTCTCCTGCCTTGCTATTGGGCATTCAGTTCTTTATTAGACCGTTAGGTGTTTTAGACAGGCACAGTAACACAGCTACACAGAGTTAAACAACTGCAACATACACAAAAGTAACATATCTTAAAATAATATTCTCCAATGCTTAACAATTCCAACACTGTTGAAAAGTCTAAGTTCAAATCTGTTCTCAGACTCAAGGCAATCACTTAACTGTGATTCCCTGTAATATAGTTACATATTTCTAAGATACAATAGCAGAGTAGATATTAATATTCCAAATGGGAAGGACAGGAGGGTTATAATGAAAGACTGAACCAAAGCAAGACCCAACCATAGCAGAGCCAACAGCCAATGCTTTAGCTATATATAGGGCATAGGGGCTCTCCTTGGCATCATCTGGGCCAACTTTGGTGCAAGTCTCTGTGAACTCCTCATTCTTGCATCTTTCACATTTACAAAAACTAGTTCTAAAACAAAACAAAACGAAAATCTCCAAAGCGAGTTCCAGGAATGGCACAAAGCTACACAGAGAAACCCTGTCTCAAAAAACAAAAAAACAAACCAAACCAAACAAACAACAAAAAAAACCCCACTAGTTCTACGTGAATGGTGCCAACTTATCCTGTCACAGGATCTCTGACCCCCAGTAACCCTGCTCAAGAAAGATGCCTTAGAGTCTCTCTTTGTTCAAATAGTTTTCTTCTAGTATTTCAAAGAATATCTATCTATCATCTATCTATCTATCTATCTATCTATCTATCTATCTATCTATCTATCTATCTATCTATCTACCTACCTATCTATAGATACAGATATGTGTGTATTATTTTAAATATTATCTCTTTTATTTCTGAGATTATAATATAATTA